TTATAAAATTGTACTATGATTCAAACTCAAAAAGGAGGAAAGATGTGGGAGGAAGGAATACACATATCGGTTCCCACCTGTGAATACCACCACTTACAGATATATGCACACACACAATATCAATGTCTATAGAGTTAAGATTAAGACCATTGTTCCTAAAGAATTTTTCCTTCAATCCCTATCCCTTCTGGGTTCAAACTAAACAACGTTTCGAAAGTTCTTGAGCATTTTTCCCAGTTACTTCAAATAAAATGTATCTGTTTGGTGACAGCTTTTGTGTTCGGGTCCATCCATCTCTGTCTGGTCACTGTCACACTGTTGACTGTGTCTAAATGAACCCGATAAGTCCCTCCGGCCTTTCCCTTTGTCCTGCTGCGTCCACTCAGCACCCTCTCCATCAGATCACACCTGCTGGCAGCACCCAAGGGTCCACCCACCTCCCACCCCCCAGGTACAGGCCCCTGAAGCCCCACTCTGCCGATCCAGGGTGTGACCTTTGTTTGTGAGTGCAGCTCGCGGTGAGTCTTAAGTGTCCATTTCTAATCCTGCATGTTGACCAGAGGAGTTTAGGCTAAGTGACTGCGCTTCAAAGGGGAACTGGGTCTGATGGGCGGATTAAAAGGACATGCAAGCGGAATAAAAGTGATTCACCTGTGAGTTTGTATAGTGTCTTTAGTTGCAGGATGGGGTTAGTTAAGAAATAAACAAAAAACTTATAAATGCTAAAAACAGTTTGTGGAAAGGCTAAACTAGGAGGGCTGACTGTAGGTTAGCAGTAGTATTTTACAACTTGCTATAGTCAGGAATCAAAAAAAGGCTCATCTGTACAACTTTGTTAAGACACAGCAACTTCAAACGTGACATTGACACGGGCACTGTTTCACAAGTTGTGTGTGGAATGCTCCTACTGCAATAATGCATTAGGTTTATATACAGTGCTTTTTTGGACTGTCAAAGATGCTTTCAAGGCATCCCAGTCTGTGCCATCAGCCCCTCCCACACACTCCAGACTCATTTTTTGTGAAGTGTCTTGCCTAAGGACACAACCACAATTTTGCACTTTACAGCCTCAGCCACCCTACTGGGGGCCCAGGTGTTCCCAGAGGTCTCCCATCTCAGTTCCCAGCCCTGCTTAGCATCAGAGCTTCTGACAGCGTTGGCTTTCACCTGCAGATATGGCCTGGTACAAACATGAACTGCAAGAGTAACTCCATCCATTAACACAACATCCAAGAGGAACTTCTAACCAGCGAACATGAAAATCTTTTCTTGTTACAAATAAGTTTTTGCAGTTTTTTTTCAAGCCATTTCCCACTTGATATGAGAGAAAACTTCCTGCCCTTGAAGTAAGCCACTCTTGCTGCGGTCCCGGTCACACACACTTGTTTTGCAACAAACTAAAAGATAAATGTGGTCTTCGTTGGTCGCTCGGATGAAGGTCTTCTTGTCTGTTTTATCGGCCCTGAACTTGGTCCCATCCGTTCACTGGACGGTCCGGCTGCTCCTGCCCCAGCACGCTCCCCCACAGCCTGGGCACCAAAGCAGCGACACATCCACACCTCATGTGTCCGTCCACCAAAAGTTTGTGATTCTACTGGTTGTTGTGTGATGTTTGTTCGTACTCAGACCTTTCACGGAGTAAGAAACTGGAAACGAAACCTTTTGTTCCAAACTGTTTCTGTGATGGATTATTGTTGATCAATCAACCTTTTGGAATTCACACTGAAGTCTTGTTGTTGGTATCCACTAATGCCATTGTCGCACATGGCGGCTCTACTCCAAGTCTTCTTGTGTGACTCCACTCCCTCTCTCTCTCTAAGGGAGCAGAGGAAACGTTCGTGGACCACGTATCCGCGATCATTCTTTTTCAGCATTGACCGCAAAGCTCATGATCAGAGGTGAGGGGGAGGGGGGATCAGAGATTTGAAGGAGGAAATTGAGCTTTGCGTTTTGACTCAGCTCCATCTTTACCACTACCGTTCTACAAAGCTCTCTGACTGCAGGGGGAACGCGCTCCCTTCTCATTAATGCTTCTATCTGGTTAATTGCAGGAGGGTCAAGGGACAATGTTGATGATTCCAGGACAGGGTTACCTTCTAAATTGGGTCCACTAACTTGATCAGCTCAGTGGACTAGGGTCCGGACATCATACAACTGGATAAAACTGTTTTGTGATGTGCGTTAAATCAACCACACTTAAAGAGTGTAATTTACGCGGAGTACATATTCATAAGCCTATTTTACTATAACAAAAATGTATGAGAACAATATTCTGAAAAAAGTCTCAAAAAACAAAGTGCTAGTTGAAAGATCCAGACTGTTGTTCTGTTGTCATGGTCCGTTGTCATGGTGTCTGTTGCTTTGTGTAGTGCTGGTTTCCAAGGCAACAGTTTCCATAGTGATTGAATGGAAATCACTATGTGACAACCATAACTATGTAACTGTAACAAACTCCCAGAAAAAGTTGCAAGAAATTTGCGATTAGAAAGGGCTAAGACCATTGATTTGTAACTAGAGAAATATTTTTTAAGTTCAAATCTTGGTGGAACCAAAATCCCCTTTGATGACAGCTCTCACTTTGAAGCTGTTGGACCCACCTCAATCACTACTGGAAAAATACATATAAGATCCAAGCGTTTGTTTATGATTTTTTTTAAGCAGATACTCACAAAATGTGGTTCCAGGGTGTAATGTTAGCACTCTGGGACTCTGCATCCAGTGTGATCCGAGTTCGATCTCGGTGGAACCTCACTGTCTTTTTCCCACAAAAGCTGGACCCCTGCTAAATTGTAACTCTAAATAAATGTCAGAGTTTTTTTAAATCTCAGCTGGAACTGAGATGGTCATCCTTTAAAGAAAGAAACCTTGGGACCCTGTACTGGACTTAATTTTCCTTTGGCAAAACTGGCTTTCCATGTGGTTCAATAGTGTAATGGTTTAGCGGTTCTTGGTCTCTGATCCATGTGATTCGAGTTTAAATCTGCAGATGGAACCTCGCTGTATTGGCCCTCCTTTTAGCAGTAAGTGGACCCCTAATCTGAATCTGTATCTTGAACAAAATGTTTGAAGAGTTCATATCGGGGGTGGAACCGTCTAGCCGCAATTGTCAACCTTTATGCAAAAAATGCACAACCAGAGTGTGTTCTGGCTCATGATAGGGTGTTGTTGTTTGCCTTGGTGGACATTGGTGATAGATGGCAATAGCTACCTGCCCGGATAGTGGTATGTGGATCACTGTTGGGAGGGCCACCGGGGCTGTAGGGATACAAGTGCTTGGGTGGAGTGTTTCCTTTGTATTGTTGCAATGGTAATTTTTTCCATTGCATTGGGTACCATGTTAACTACCATAGCCATCGGTTGCCATCGGTGTCTATTGGCCGGTTAGCTACGGCCCTAGGGTGTACTTGTCCTGTAGCTTTCAGGTTGCTAATGGAAAATTAGGATTGCTTTATGCTAGGTAGTCCAGGTGATTGTTTGCCCTTTGCAACGGGTTGACCCTTGGTGAGGTGTGAAAGTGCATCGGTGCCTGGGGGGGAGTGGTCCATGACTGAGCTTCGGTGGCCAATGCGGGGTCGTGGTCAATTGTTCGGGGGGGGCAAGCATAAGGTGGCGAGTTTTCCTGCCAGCTTCTGGTGGCCAGGGGGACGAGTTCATTGAGCATCGGTGTATTGCCATTCGGGGTCGCTGTGTCCAGTGCTATCGGTGGGCATTGGGGTGTAGTTTCCTGAGCATTCGGTAGTTGTTGGCCGGGCAGGTGACTATTGCATGTAGCTAAGATGTGACTGGGTGTCTAGGGCCTGCAGCTACGGTGGACATGCGGGACTTTTGGACATAGCCATGGGGTGGCCATGAGGGGTGGGTCTACCTGCGCATCGGTTGACCATGGTGTCTACCAGCGCGTATGCATTCGGGGGGGGCGTGGATTTATGGTAACAGTTTTTTGGTAGGTGGGGGTTGTGCATACAGAAGGGGGTAAGGGTGGCAACCATAAGGGAACGATGGCCTGTGCTAGGGTCGGCCGACCACATCTCCCACATCAACATTGCTATTGTTTGTCTTAAAGCTAAGGCTACAGGATTAGCAGTGTGTTTAGATGGACAATGCTAACTTGCTAACCTGTTAACCTGCTAGCTCAATGACGCCCAAGAGAGAAGTGCCAATGAGTGAAGTTTTGCCCCAATTGGCTCTTTTTGACTGTTATTAGCTGACCTCCAGGACGTCCACACGGCTCAGATCCTAAAAACTGTCTAAGTTGCTTCCACCTGTGGCAGATTTAGCTCCACTAAGATTTAAGAACTCTTTTATCTCCCTTTGGTATTTTAAACCAGTCTTGTTTTGTTGTGTATTTGTTTTCTGGTGTGTATTTGTGCCACTGTGCCCCTGGGGGATAATAAAGACCCCTTGATCCTTGAACCTTGACCTGTCAGTGTCACTCTCATGTCGGTCTTAATAAATCTGTGGTTTTGAGTTTTCTCTGATCCCGTCTGTGATATAGTCTTTGTAAATCCCGACATGAGCCATACTGACCAATCAAATCACTTCATTCGTGCCTTAGCGTGTTAGCACCACCTCTGCCACTGTGACCACAATAACGCCTTCCAAACAAACGCCCATATAAGGAAATTGGCTCCTGCTTGCTTTTGTTCAAATGGTGATGTCACACGTGGTCAGTCCACTCCTGACAAACTGTTTTTGTTTCATAAATACATCGGGCATAACTTTTGATAATCACATTGAAATGAGTGTGTTTTTTAACGTACTTTTAAATTCTCTGTAAATCTGTCTTTATCTGATCATAAACCATGTCACATTGTACTTACTGACAGCGTATTGGCTCTGAGAGGGGTTTCTCACTTTTCTGTCTAAAGAGGCCGATCCAGAGGCAAAAATACAAACTGACTGTGGTGGCTTCAAAGTGAAGTACTCCGGCTTTAATATTATATAGGCTGCGGTCACAGGCACGACCTAAAGGTCAAAGGTTGGGAGGGGGGGGTCTGAGCATGGTTGGGAGGGGGGGGGGGTCTGCGTACGGTTGGGAGGGGGGGTCTGAGTACGGTTGGGGGGGGGGGGGGGTCTGAGTACGGTTGGGGGGGGGGTCTGAGTACGGTTGGGGGAGGGGGAGGGGGGGTCTGAGTACGGTTGGGGGAGGGGGGGGGGGGGTCTGAGTACGGTCGGGAGGGGGGGGTCTGAGTACGGTTGGGGGAGGGGGGGGTCTGAGTACGGTTGGGGGAGGGGGGGGGGGGGGTCTGAGTACAGTCGGGAGGGGGGGGTCTGAGTACGGTTGGGGGAGGGGGGGGTCTGAGTTCGGCTCTAAACCCCAGATGGGGGGGGTCGATGTGTAGTGGGGGGGTGATACTGTGTCACATGACGTCTTCCTTCGGCTCTACAACCGTCTCATACTTTCACATCCTCTCTGTTTGTGTTACACCGGTCATGTGACACCGGTCATGTGACCCCGGGCCGGGGGGAGGGGCACGTTGACCGAGCCCTCAGAGTCTGTGCTGGTCCCACTGTGGGGAAAGTTCAGTGTTGCATCAGCAGTTACAGAACAGTAGAATGAGGAGCACACAGAGATACAACAGTAAAATATTAAATCTCTAACTTTAGCTTTTGTCTCGTTTCATGGACTTTTATTATTTAATTTATTTGATCGTGTTTGGGCTTTGTGTTCAGATGCTTTAGCTTCGCAGCTTCTCGTGACGTTTAAACTATAATTCTAACAAATGTAATGAACTGGAATGTCGCTGGTGGAGTGTTTTTAAAGCTCTGTGTCTGACTTCTTCATGTTCTCATTCTTTGGCTTTGCTCACACACACAAAGTGATTCTCCCGAAGTTTGAAAACAGAAATATAACTCCATAATGAGTCTATGTCCCGGGCACTGGGAGGATGGGAGACCGTGGGACTGGTTCTGTTCCCATGAAGAGGCGGGTTAGGACTGAGACAGCCTGAGGACCAGAGACGGCTACGTCAGTGCTACGTCAGTGCTACGTCAGTGCTACGTCACTGCTACATCAGTGCTACGTCACTGCTACATCAGTGCTACGTCAGTGCTACGTCAGTGCTACGTCAGTGCTACGTCAGTGCTACGTCAGTGCTACGTCACTGCTAAGTCAGTGCTACGTCAGTGCTACGTCAGTGCTACGTCAGTGCTACGTCACTGCTACATCAGTGCTACGTCAGTGCTACGTCAGTGCTACGTCAGTGCTACGTCAGTGCTACGTCAGTGCTACGTCACTGCTACATCAGTGCTACGTCAGTGCTACGTCAGTGCTACGTCAGTGCTACGTCACTGCTACATCAGTGCTACGTCAGTGCTACGTCAGTGCTACGTCAGTGCTACGTCACTGCTACATCAGTGCTACGTCAGTGCTACGTCAGTGCTACGTCAGTGCTACGTCACTGCTAAGTCAGTGCTACGTCAGTGCTACGTCAGTGCTACGTCAGTGCTACGTCAGTAATTTAGTAGAAAAATAAGCAAATAATAGTTCATTTGTTAATTTAGTATATTTTATCTGTAGTGGATTATTGTTAATCTGTTGTATTGGTGTTCATTCACTTTTGGATTAGTTTTTTCATTGGGATTCTGCTGCGTTTAGTGATTGATGTGTCCAAAGGCTGGTTTTGTCTATTTAAGGAGTTGTGATTTTAGATGAATATATGATAAACAAAATAGGTTGAATGTTCAAAGCGTGACACCCTGATGGACTGGACCTGATGATTTTAACTTCCTTAATGATACACTAACTCATGGTCTATAGTTCTGGATATTGACATAAACATGTGACTTTAAAATACTGTATAATGACTAAAAACAGCAGTGATAAAATCTGTGTTTCTGCTTCAAAGCCTTTCTCTGCCTGTGCCCGGAGAATGTGGTCATGTCGTAACGCTGAGGATTGAGTTTCAAAACATCTCTCAGTCAGAGTCGCCGTAGCAACAGGCCGCTAACAGAACATGAAACGCCACGGCTTTTTCTCATTAGCCACGCTCAAAGAAGACAAGTTTAGGTTTTTATGCCATGTCAGAGACCCCGAGACCGCAGGAGTTCAGGGCCGTGTGCGGGATCAGGGAGGTCAGAGCCAGATGAGACCAGAGAGAGACCAGAGAGAGACCAGAGAGACCAGAGAGAGACCAGAGAGAGACCAGAGAGAGACCAGAGAGAGAGACCAGAGAGAGACCAGAGAGAGACCAGATAGAGAGACCAGAGAGAGAGACCAGAGAGAGAGACCAGAGAGAGAGACCAGAGAGAGACCAGAGAGAGACCAGAGAGAGACCAGAGAGACCAGAGAGAGACCAGAGAGAGACCAGAGAGAGACCAGAGAGAGACCAGAGAGAGACCAGAGAGAGACCAGAGAGAGACCAGAGAGAGAGACCAGAGAGAGAGACCAGAGAGAGAGACCAGAGGAGAGAGAGACCAGAGAGAGACCAGAGAGAGGCCAGAGAGAGACCAGAGAGACCAGAGAGAGACCAGAGAGAGACCAGAGAGAGACCAGAGAGAGACCAGAGAGAGACCAGAGAGAGGCCAGAGAGAGAGGCCAGAGAGAGGCCAAGAGAGAGAGAGACCAGAGAGAGAGACCAGAGAGAGACCAGAGAGAGAGACCAGAGAGAGAGACCAGAGAGAGACCAGAGAGAGACCAGAGAAAGAGACCAGAGAGAGACCAGAGAGAGAGACCAGAGAGAGAGACCAGAGAGAGAGACCAGAGAGAGAGACCAGAGAGAGAGACCAGAGAGAGAGAGACCAGAGAGAGACCAGAGAGAGACCAGAGAGAGACCACAGAGAAAGAGACCAGAAAGAGACCAGAGAGAGACCAGAGAGAGAGACCAGAGAGAGAGACCAGAGAGAGACCAGAGAGAGACCAGAGAGAGACCAGAGAGAGACCAGAGAGAGACCAGAGAGAGACCAGAGAGAGACCAGAGAGAGTGAGAAACACCCAGGTTGTAATGACCTAAAGTAGAACAATGTCACGGCTCATTCTCCGTGTGATAAAACACGGTTCTGTTTCCAGGATTTTACACTTTTACGCTGTAGTGAAACTGGTCCAGGAACTGTGCTGTGCTTTTGCATCAAGAAATGGCAGAAAAACCGTAGAAACAGCCAACTTTGTAAACGGATTTCTCATAAAAAGTGCTTTTGCTGCGTCTGTTCTGCATCAGACTCTGGGCCTGAGTCATGAGGCCAAGAGGTTGCTTTGAAAATGATGAAATGGTGATTTTTGTGTTATGAAGGTGCAATACTACTTTTACATACTTATGAAGTTACAATATTACTTATACTTCTGCCTTTTTAATGCAGCCGTGATGAAGGTCTGAGGCTGAATTGCATTTTTGACATTTTAACCACGTACTGTATTAATAAAGGCTTTTTAACTTTTTCTTCACCCACTGAGTGCCTCCGTTTTTTCCACTTTATGGCTTCTTATACTTACTTATGACGGTGCAATACTCCTCATAAATATGCTTAACAAGGTGCAATACTTATTATACACACGTATGAATGTGCAATACTCCTCATAAGGTGCAATATTCTTCATACTTACTTATGACGGTGCAATACTTTAAGTCACTAATGACCTGCACTAGGACTGAAGAACCTGCTGCTATTGCCACTTTTATATTGCACATAATTATATCCTGCACAGACTATTTTTAACCTTTAGCATGTTTCACTTCTGTCTTTTACACAAATCTGTGATGTCACATGTACATTTCTCCATCAGAGATCAATAAAGTCTATGTTATCTTTTCTGAACAATCTGTGTGTCTGTGTGTGTGTGTGTGTGCGTGTGCCTGTGTCTGTGTGTGTGTGTGTGTGTGTGTGTGTGTGTGTCTGTGTGTGTGTGTCTGTGTGTCTGTGTCTGTGTGTGTCTGTGTGTGTGCGCATGCGCGTGTGTGTGTGTGTGTGTGTGTGCGCGTGCGCGTGTGTGTGCCTGTGTGTGTGTTGGTGTGTGTGTGTGTCTGTGTGTCTATGTGTGTTGCAGTGTCCAGGTCCCAGGTGTCATTGCAGCGTCAGGGTTTGGTGCCTGAGAATGTGACTCGGATGTCAGAGCGCCCCCTGGTGGTGCAGCAGACTCTGGGCGACGCTTCCACAGAGAGCGACCTCCTGGAAAACATCTGGAAACTCCAGAACCTCTTCCAGAACCACAGCGAGTGGCTGCAGAAGCTCGACACACTCATGAAGGTGCAATATACTCCTTATACATACTCATGAAGGTGCAATATACTCCTTATACATACTCATGAAGGTGTAATATACTCCTTATACATACTCATGAAGGTGCAATATACTCCTTATACACACTCATGAAGGTGCAATATACTCCTTATACATACTCATGAAGGTGCAATATACTCCTTATACACACTCATGAAGGTGCAATATACTCCTTATACACACTCATGAAGGTGCAATATACTCCTTATACACACTCATGAAGGTGCAATATACTCCTTATACACACTCATGAAGGTGCAATATACTCCTTATACATACTCATGAAGGTGCAATATACTCCTTATACACACTCATGAAGGTGCAATATACTCCTTATACACACTCATGAAGGTGCAATATACTCCTTATACATACTCATGAAGGTGCAATATACTCCTTATACACACTCATGAAGGTGCAATATACTCCTTATACACACTCATGAAGGTGCAATATACTCCTTATACACACTCATGAAGGTGCAATATACTCCTTATACACACTCATGAAGGTGCAATATACTCCTTATACACACTCATGAAGGTGCAATATACTCCTTATACACACTCATGAAGGTGCAATATACTCCTTATACATAGCTACAAAGCTGCAATATTCCTTATGAATGTACAGTACAGACCAAAGATTTGGACACACCAAACCAAAGAGTTTTTTATTTTCATGATTATGAAAACTGTAGACTGACACTGAGGGCCTCAAACCTATGATGAACTCATGTGAATGATGTTCGTAGTAAAAAAAGTATGAACCAAGTGTAAATATGTGTTATATTTATAATATTCTGGTTCTTCAAAGTAGCTCCTTTTGCTCTGATACTGCTTCACTCTTGGCATTCTCTGGATGAGCTTCAACAGGACCTGAAATGGTCTCCAACAGTCTGGAAGGAGTTCCCATGATGCTTAGCACTTGTTGGCCCCTTCACTTTGTGGTCCTGCCCCAAAACCATCTGGACTGGGTTCAGGTCCAAAACCATCTGGACTGGGTTCTGGTCCAAAACCATCTGGACTGGGTTCAGGTCCAAAACCATCTGGACTGGGTTCTGGTCCAAAACCGTCTGGACTGGGTTCAGGTCCAAAACCATCTGGACTGGGTTCAGGTCCAAAACCATCAGGACTGGGTTCAGGTCCAAAACCATCAGGACTGGATCTACAGCAATAGTCATGAAAAGAACTCAGTGACGGAGAGAGGTGTCCACACTTTTGGTCTGTATTGTACCTATTAAAGTGCAATAGTCCTTTTGTACTTTTGTAGGTGCAATACTTCTCACAAACATTCTTATGGAGGTAGCAGATGACTAATGTCCATAAGTGTGGTGCCAGGGCCTGGAGGCGGAGCTCCGCAGTATGCAGGCCCACTCTCTGCAGTCTGAAGGTTACCTGGTGCAGCTGGACGACCGCCTCTCGTCTCTGAGTAACTCCGCCGGACGGAACCTCACCACTCTATCTGCCCAAGTGTCTCGCGCCTCGTCCTGGCTCCGGGACCAGGACTCTCAGCTCAGGTAAGACCCCTCAGACTGACCTTTCAGACTTTAATGAACTCGAGAGAGAGGGTCACGGGTTTGGTTATGGCTCACAGGGAAACCTCGGGACACATCAGCGGTTTGAGGGAAAAGCTGGACGAGGTGAACTGGATGGTGGGAGCTGTCAATCACACCTTTACAAATGACATCAGCATGCATCACTTAAAGATACAGGACCTCCAGGTGAGTCGGGGATCCTTATACACTCAGGTTTTCATTGGCTGAGTGCATGTGTGTGAGGAGGTAATAGTGAATTATAGCTGGATTATATGGTCCTACATGGTTCTACAAGTTGACAATTTGGTCTTCCTCAGAGCGGCCATGTTTCTTGTCGGCTTTTTTACAACAATTATGGCGATGTCTTCCTCCCACCAGAGGCAGGACGATAGCGCCATCTGCAGTCCGACTTCTTCGAGACATAATCCCAGGTGTGAGAAGATAAAAAGCAATCTCCGACCCCTGTAAAAGAGAGAACCATAATATGGATAGGGGCGGAGCAATTATCATAGTGGCCGAGGGCAGCAAACACAGACGCTGGCTCCTGTGTGAGATCAATAAAGTCTATCTTACCTTAAAGGAATAGTTCACCGTTTTTACATACTGACATATGTTCTTACCTTACCTTAGACTAGTTAATACGTACCTGTCTGGTCTTAGTCCGTGCGCTCTGTCATGCAAACGGAGCAAAAACGGGAGCACAAACGCAGCCTCCTCTGGTCACTGTGTAGGACCAAAAGGTAGCTCTGCTCACTTCCGTCAATAGAAGCAGCGTGACTTGTAATACACACAGTAGCAGCGAGAGAGAAGACTCCGGAGAGAAGTTAGTGCGCGGACGTAGCGCTCACTACGCCTCACAATATAGTACCCGTTTTATCCGCTGAGAAAATCGACAGTTACATTTCTGTGTTACTATACTTTGCAGTGTAACACGTCACGTAACTATATACATTTAATAGGGAACACTTGGAAGAGTTTGGTAGCTTCTAGCGGGAGCTACCTTTTGGTCCTACACAGTGACCAGAGGAGGCTCCGTTTGTGCTCCCGTTTTTGCTCCGTTTGCATGACAGAGCGCACGGACTAAGACCAGACAGGTACATATCAACTAGTCTAAGGTAAGAACATATGTCAGTATGTACAAACGGTGAACTATTCCTTTAAGGTGGAAATAGAGATACAGAAAGAGGCCGCCAGGACAATCAACCGGGACAAAGGGGCTGTTCTACTCTCATACACCCAGGATTCTGTTTTGAAGAAATCGGACTCCACATGACGCTGTCGTTCTGCCTCCGGTGGTGGAATAAGATACGACACGTCACATGACCGTCACATGACCGTCACATGACCATCACATGACCATCACATGACCGTCACATGACCGTCACATGACCGTCACATGACCATCACATGACCATCACATGACCCTCACATGACCCTCACATGACCATCACATGACCATCACATGACCCTCACATGACCATCACATGACCACGTCACATGACCATCACATGACCATCACATGACCATCACATGACGTCACATGACCGTCACATGACCGTCACAAGACCGTCACATGACCATCACATGACCCTCACATGACCATCCCATGACCGTCCCATGACGTCACATGACCATCACATGACCATCACATGACCGTCACATGACGTCACATGACCGTCACATGACCGTCACAAGACCGTCACATGACCGTCACATGACCCTCACATGACCCTCACATGGCCGTCACATGACCCTCACATGACCCTCACATGACCGTCACATGACAGAACACTCTGGTCTTTAAAAAAAATAACGTATAAAATGGTCTTATATCATACTTGCAATAAGAATATTTCTCAAAACAATCATACTCTTCTACTCCCACAGATGAAAACACTATGGACTGTTTTTCTGCTTCTTCCAAAAACAGAAAAACACTTGGGATTGAAACCTGAGCCTGACGGCAGCTGGATCCACAGCTGTGAAACAACAGAATCCCAGTCATTGACTCTGTTTGTGTTTCTTGTTTCCAGATTCAGATCAGTAACATCACAGAAGACACCAGCAGTTTATGGGTGACCCACGTGCACACAGAGGCCCAGCTCCGGACAGAGATGGAGATCTTAAACACCATCACCGAGGACCTGCGGCTGAAGGACTGGGAGCACTCCATGGCCTTCAAGAACCTGACCGTTCTGGAAGGTCAGCCACACCACATTCACAACCACACACACTGTTTCACACCGAGCCCTGGCTCTGGGCCTGGCTCTGGGCCTGGCTCTGGGCCTGGCTCTGGGCCTGGCTCTGGGCCTGGCTCTGGGCCTGGCTCTGGGCCTGGCTCTGGGCCTGGACTCTGGGCCTGGCTCTGGGCCTGGACTCTGGGCCTGGCTCTGGGCCTGGACTCTCTGAGGACATGGCCCTGCTCCAACACGGCTCCTGCACTTGACTTTGGCTTCATTAGGAGCTGGACGACCACTTCACACTCTCCAGTCACTCAGTGTTCACTCTGAGTGTTCTTCAGGGCAGGACATTTTGTACACATGGCTGAAGCACGAGGCCTGGAGCATCCAACATATGTTTATAATATTTTTGATCATAGTTTATTACTTCAGTTGATAAAGAACCTAATACTATTGTGGAGGGTCCGAGTCTGACTGGTCTGTGTGGAGACAATGAATAATCCACAGAGAGGCAAACCCATTCTACAGATTTACGTTTTACTCTGCCAAAAGTGATAAGATATGAGGTAAAAATAGTTTGAATCAAGTGGTTTTTATCTTAATCTGACACATTCTGACTATCTCAAAACAAGAATCTCCTCTGGGACAAAGACCTTTAGTCGGATTTGAAGAACTTCAAAACTTTATTTTCTCTTTCTCATTCTTGTACCTTTTAAAACAAGATCATTTTGTTTGTCCCATTGGAAAATGTTGTTTTAAGGCTCAGTCAAAACGTGCTCAAATATTTACAATTCTGTCCTCACTTTGTGCAGTGTAAGAACTGTCGATCAGACGACCATCAGAGAGTTAGAGTTAGTTAAAGTTTGGGAACATGATGAGAAAGAGATTATACCTTTCATTATTATATGTTAATATTGTATGTATCATAACGTAAATGCCATTTAAAGACCACATGCCTCTGGTAAAGGGTGGGAATGTTGTGGGACAATTAAAGGTTGATGACAATTGTTGATCGTTGTGCAGCCAACTAAAGTCATTAAAAAGTAAGAATCAAGACAGTTGATAGAGCATTGGCCTTTGAGCCTGAAGGTCATGGGTTCGAGCCAACCACGAGACTGACTTCCACTGATGTCTTCTGTTGTTCTGTCCTTGGGCAAGACACTTGACCCACTTGGCCTTTAAGGACCGTGAATGAAATAGTACTCTGCATGTCTTGATGTGAGTACTGTGTGTATTCATGGAACCCAAATGTCTCCGTTGTGAGATCAAAAGGTATCATTATAAAGTATTTCTTCTTCTTCATCTTCTCCATATCAGCTCAGAACATGATGAGCTCATGGGAACCATGTGTGCGGAGTCCATCTGGTGTAGATACTGTAACAGCTCTGGCACTACGGTTCACCTAGAAGTCATTAGTGTGATTGAATTCTCCTGACCCTCACATGCTAACGCGGGGATTTTCTCCGTAAGGCCCTAAGCATATCCAAATGTCTCCTCTCCAGGCTGCACAGCTCTGATTAACGTTGACATGCTGCGCCTTCCTCCCGCTGTAGCTGCAAAACGAGCTGCTCAAATCAGAGGAGTGAAAGTCGTGACGCCATCCTGGACGGTCCTGGATGACTGATGGAGATCTGAGGGCGCCGTGAGCCTGTAACATGTGGGTGGGATGGGGCCTGGAAACAATTGGAGAGTAAATCTGGGTCTTAAAAAAAACTCCAGCGCTTTTTATTAGCGTCGTCCAGTTGTTTGTTGTTAGCTTAGGGTCAGCTCTGCCAAGACAAGTTGTGTATTTCCATGTTTCTAAGCCTGGTCTCTTGTTTTGTTCAGTTTGGCTGTGATTCAGTAACTCTGACTCACACCAGCTCTTTTTCAAGAGCCTTTTTAGGTCACCAAGTGCTGGAACATAAATCACTAAAACAAACGCATCCAAACGAAACCCACATGATTTCACACCGAGCAGGTTTTTGGAATGGTCTTTTTAAAGTGTCAAATAAACATGCGTCCTTTTCCAATCTTTACTATTTTTATCTGTGTATTCTGTATTTGTAGATTCTTAAACAAAGCTTTCAAGATGAGATAAGAGACGCACAGCAGAGACATGTCGGTGTTGCAGCGCACAGGACTGTATAAGAGCCACAAGGAGCACACACAGTATACAAGAATATAGACTTCATCTTTCTGAGTGGAGTTTGCATGTTCTCCCCGTGTCTGTGTAGGTTTCCTCCGGGTGCTCCGGTTTCCCCTACCACTAAAAACATGCACAATAGGTCTGAATGTAAATGAGAGAGTGAATGGATGGTGTTGGGTCAGAGGCTTTGATGGTCCAGTGTGTTCTGGACTCGCTTCTGTCATCATCGTGTGTGGAAGGATTGGAACAATATCTGACTCTGAACATTGGAAAGTGCTTTGGGTCTGTACCTTTGGGTTTGTGCCTTTGGGTTTGTACCTTTGGGTCTGTACCTTTGGGTTTGTACCTTTGGGTCTGTACCTTTGGGTCTGTACCTTTGGGTCTGTACCTTTGGGTTTGTGCCTTTGGGTCTGTACCTTTGGGTCTGTACCTTTGGGTCTGTACCTTTGGGTCTGTACCTTTGGGTTTGTGCCTTTGGGTCTGTACCTTTGGGTCTGTACCTTTGGGTCTGTCCTTTGGGTTTGTGCCTTTGGGTCTCTCTGTACCTTTGGGTCTGTACCTTTGGGTCTGTACCTTTGGGTCTGTACCTTTGGGTTTGTGCCTTTGGGTCTGTACCTTGGTCTGTACCTTTGGGTCTGTACCTTTGGGTCTGTGCCTTTGGGTCTGTACCTTTGGGTCTGTACCTTGGTCTGTACCTTTGGGTCTGTACCTTTGGGTCTGTACCTTTGGGTCTGTACCTTTGGGTCTGTACCTTTGGGTCTGTACCTTTGGGTCTGTACCTTGGTCTGTACCTTTGGGTCTGTACCTTTGGGTCTGTGCCTTTGGGTCTGTACCTTTGGGTCTGTACCTTGGTCTGTACCTTTGGGTCTGTGCCTTTGGGTCTGTACCTTTGGGTCTGTACCTTTGGGTCTGTACCTTGGTCTGTACCTTTGGGTCTGTACCTTTGGGTCTGTACCTTTGGGTCTGTACCTTTGGGTTTGTGCCTTTGGGTCTGTACCTTTGGGTCTGTACCTTTGGGTCTGTACCTTTGGGTCTGTACCTTTGGGTCTGTACCTTTGGGTCTGTACCTTGGTCTGTACCTTTGGGTCTGTACCTTGGTCTGTACCTTTGGGTCTGTACCTTTGGGTCTGTACCTTTGGGTCTGTACCTTTGGGTCTGTGCCTTTGGGTCTGTACCTTTGGGTCTGTACCTTGGTCTGTACCTTTGGGTCTGTACCTTGGTCTGTACCTTTGGGTCTGTACCTTTGGGTCTGTACCTTTGGGTCTGTACCTTTGGGGTCTGTACCTTTGGGTCTGTACCTTGGTCTGTACCTTTGGGTCTGTACCTTTGGGTCTGTGCCTTTGGGTCTGTACCTTTGGGTCTGTGCCTTTGGGTCTGTGCCTTTGGGTCTGTGCCTTTGGGTCTGTGCCTTTGGGTCTGTGCCTTTGGGTCTGTACCTTTGGGTCTGTACCTTGGTCTGTACCTTTGGGTCTGTACCTTTGGGTTTGTGCCTTTGGGTCTGTACCTTGGTCTGTACCTTTGGGTCTGTACCTTTGGGTCTGTACCTTTGGGTCTGTACCTTTGGGTCTGTACCTTTGGGTCTGTACCTTTGGGTCTGTACCTTTGGGTCTGTACCTTTGGGTCTGTACCTTTGGGTCTGTACCTTTGGGTCTGTGCCTTTGGGTCTGTGCCTTGGTCTGTAACATGCGCTATATAAATAAACATTACTTACTTACTCCTCCTGATCTAGGGGTTACAAACCTACAGTACTTACTCTTTAGTCTCTTAGTCTCGGACCCTCGTGAACACGTGCAGACGTATACATACAACTATAGATACACTACAGTATACAGTAAATCCTACTTCTATGCTAGAGTTAACATATGTATTTTATTTTAGTATAGAGTTATTGTTCCTTTATCTTTGTATTACTCATTTCTGGAGTTTGCATGTTCTCCCTGTGTCTGTGTAGGTTTCCTCCAGGTGCTCCAGTTTCCCCTACCTCTGTGTGGAGGGAGAGACTAATGTAACAACTGTAAACCGCTGTGACTCTGGTCTGCTGTGAAAGGGGATATATAAATAAACATTACTTACTTCTGTAACTGTGAATGCAACACTGACATTTCCCCACAGTGGGACCATCTCAGTCTGATGCAGCAGTAGTGATAATAGTTCATAATGTCTTTACTGACACTGCCGTAGTCCACAGCTGCAGAAGGACAGCTGTGTGTTTCAGTCTCACAGACCCTGGACCAAGGTCTGTGTTTTTCTCCAAAGTCTTTATGTAAAAGTCCAACTGTAGTTTGAGTGATTAGAGACGGAGCGAGAGTCTGGAAGCGTTTATCTCGTCACTGTCGCCTCCTGACGTTATGTTTGAATGTTTTCTTTAAAGCAAAAGGCTCCGTCGCACCTGTCACTGACACTGAGTAAGTGACTTTTATGAGTTCTGATGTAACTCTGGGCGTTCTGGATTTGTAAAATGTCTGCCACTCCATATAAGAGTAAGAATAATAATGATGTAGTGGTTTTTGGACACTCAGAGACGCTTTACAAACGGACTGATAAGGAACAAACAGAAATAGAGTTATAATGTAGCAGAGTTGTTCACACCATGATGTCCTGACCACATGGTTTACAGTTAGCTTCCTGCACTCTTCTCCAGGGTCCTTAGCTTCTAAAGCTTCAGTCTAAAATATCTCTGACAACTCTACAAAGATACACATATGATCTTACTTTTACTTCTTAACATTGTCTCTCTGATTCTAAGGGGAGAGAATACGGACGAGTCTAAAACACTTTGTCTCACGTCTCGCAAATCAGTGCACAGCGAAATGACTTGATGTACATTTTTCTTTGTTATAACAAGTTTTGCCGACGGGACGCAGCATTTAGTTTTATTTCAAGGCAAAGTTGCTTTTTATCCCGAAGGAAAATGTAGTAAGAGACAAGACAACGAGATATTGTAGTTTGTCCCATCGGCACAGGACACAGATGTGTGACTGAGCAGAATTACCATGCTAATCCTCTGCTCAATGAAGCCCAAAGGGAGGTGCTCATGGACAGAGTTTGTCTCAGCTCGCTCTGGCTCCTATTGACTTACATTATGTGTCACACTCACACTCTGTGATCCTGATATGGTCTTTCTAATAAAGACACAAGCCAAAAGGATCGACCAATCAGAGGCCTTCATTAACACAGAGTCTATCATGTAATCTATAATATAATCTATAATATAATCTATAATATAATCTATAATATAATCTATAATATAATCTGTAATGTAGTGTGTACAGTACCTCTGTTTGGGAAACTCTAAAAGTCCAAATGTTCTGATCTTTGTGAAAATCCCCTGAAAGACTTGGATGTGTTGCTACAGTTCAGTAAAAGTGTAAATAATAAAAGTCCGAGGTTTTGTTTTGGTTCTTTCCAAACACGAGAGTTTTTGGCTCCGTGTAATAATAACGATAATTAAAACCAGACAGAACGAGGTGGATTTCCCCCTTTTCTGTCTCACCATGGGACTGATGCATGTTCAGACTCATGCAGACCAAGTGGGACTCATGCAGACCAAGTGGGACTCATGCAGACCAAGTGGGACTCATGCAGACCAAGGTGTTTGTGATGTCACATGTGCAGACACACAGCTGTTCATGTTTATTGCACCATAAACCTTTGAGTCTCAAACTGACTTTGTTTCAAGAAAACATTTACTTTGTCACAGTTTTGTTTAAGTCACGTTTGTTTTTATCTTCACAGAAAAAATGAATCTTCTGAAAAAAGGATGAAAAATAAATCTGTGTTGTATTTAGTTCCTGTTTTATTTTGAAATTGTCTCCTGTGTTTTACTTCCTGTTGTGTCGATGGCCCTGATGTCGTACCTGTGTGTGGTACCTGTGTGTGGTACCTGTGTGTGGTACCTGTGTGTGGTACCTGTGTGTGGTACCTGTGTGTGGTACCTGTGTGTGGTACCTGTGTGTGGTACCTGTGTGTGGTACCTGTGTGTGGTACCTGTGTGTGGTACCTGTGTGTGGTACCAGGGTGTGGTACCTGTGTGTAGTACCTGTGTGTGGTACCTGTGTGTGGTACCTGTGTGTGGTACCTGTGTGTGGTACCTGTGTGTGGTACCTGTGTGTGGTACCTGTGTGTGGTACCTGTGTGTGGTACCTGTGTGTGGTACGTGTGTGTGGTACCTGTGTGTGGTACCTGTGTGTGGTACCTGTGTGTGGTACCAGGGTGTGGTACCTGTGTGTGGTACCTGTGTGTGGTACCTGCACAGGTCGTGCAGTGTTTCAGGATCATAAAGAACCACAGTCAGCAGTAACAGATGAACTGTTTTTACCTGGATTTAAACAACGTCAGAGAAGGATCTGTCTCACATTTTCAAGAAGACTGTTCCAGATTATAGCATGAAACTAAAACACTGCCTCCTCCTGTTTAGTCCTGACTCTGGGACCAGCAGGAGGCCAGTCCCTGTGCTCCTCAGAGTCCCAGCAGGAGGCTAGTCCCTGTGCTCCTCAGAGTCCCAGCAGGAGGCCAGTCCCTGTGCTCCTCAGAGCAGGAGGCCAGTCCCTGTGCTCCTCATAGCAGGAGGCCAGCCTGTGCTCCTCAGAGCAGGAGGCCAGTCCCTGTGCTCCTCAGAGTCCCAGCAGGAGGCCAGTCCCTGTGCTCCTCAGAGAGGCCAGTCCCTGTCCTCAGAGCAGGAGGCCAGTCAGAGCAGGCCAGTCCCTGTGTGCCAGTCCCTGTGCTCCGCAGAGGCATCCTGTGCTCAGAGCAGGCCTCCTGTGCTCTTCAGAGCAGAGGCCAGTCCCTGTGCTCTTCAGAGCAGGAGGCCAGTCCCTGTGCTCCTCAGAGTCCCAGCAGGAGGCCAGTCCCTGTGCTCCTCAGAGCAGGAGGCCAGTCCCTGTGCTCCTCAGAGCAGAAGGCCAGTCCCTGTGCTCCTCAGAGCAGGAGGCCAGTCCCTGTGCTCCTCAGAGCAGGCCAGTCCCCTGTGCTCCTCAGAGCAGGCCAGTCCCTGTGCTCCTCAGAGCAGGAGGCCAGTCCCTGTGCTCCTCAGAGCAGGAGGCCAGTCCCTGTGCTCCTCAGAGCAGGAGGCCAGTCCCTGTGCTGAGATTGTGTCCGTCACTTTGTGTCTAACATGTTTTTCATCTTTGTGCAGGGCCTCCGGGACCAAAGGGAGCGAAAGGTGAAAATGGAGATCTGGGGCCCCCAGGGGCCCCCGGACTGAGTGGACACAGAGGTGAGTTCAGGGTTCACGGTTACTATAGAAAAATATACTCTGTGCTGAATACTATAATATACTTATACAAGACAAACACATGTTTAATCTTAATCTGACACATTCTGTTCACACCAACGGGACAAAGACTTTCCTCTGATTTCCTCGTTCCAAAGACTTCCTTTTGCTTTGTCCCGTTGGTAAAAAGTGCTCAACTGAAGATACATTTTTAAGATAAGATAAGATAAGATAAGATGTGCTTTATTTATCTCACAGGAGAAATGTACATGTCACATTTGGCATGGATAGAACACTCAGATTGTGCAAAAGGAGGAAATGTGCAAACATGTTACATGCAGGATATATGTACAATAAACATGTTACATGCAGGATATATGTACAATAAACATGTTACATGCAGGATATATGTACAATAAACATGTTACATGCAGGATATATGTACAATAAACATGTTACATGCAGGATATATGTACAATAAACATGTTACATGCAGGATATATGTACAATAAACATGTTACATGCAGGATATATGTACAATAAACATGTTACATGCAGGATATATGTACAATAAAGTGACAATAATTATGTACAACAAAAGTGACAAGTGTCGATTGGAAACAGTGTCAATAGTAGTGCAGGTTTTCACACAGTGATCATTTACAAATAATTATTGACTTGTTTTTAATCATTTTTGGAGTGAAGACTGTAACTCACAAGAAGAAGGTCCTTTATTTGTCCCACAATGATACACACACATATATACACACACATATGCACACACATATATACACATACATATATATACACATACATATATATACACACACATATATACACACACACATATATATATACACACATATATATACACACACATATATACACACACATATATACACACACATATATACACACACATATATACACACACATATATACACACACATATATATATATACACATAGACACACACATATATACACACACACATATATACACACACACATATATACACACATATATACACACACATATATACACACACATATATACACACACATATATACACACACATATATACACACACATATATACACACACATATATACACACACATATATACACACACATATATACACACACATATATACACACACATATATACACATACATATATACACATACATATATACACATACATATATACACATACATATATACACATGAAGGCATGCAGCGAACATCATATCCGCTCCTTATAGGCTAAGTGGGTTAAGTGTCTTGCCCAAGGACACAACAACAGCAGACATCAGTGGGAGTCGGTGGAGCAGGTCCCGTGGTGGGCTCAAACCCACGACCTTTGGGCCCAAAGGCCAGTGCTCTACTGTACCAACTGAGCTATGTCCAAATATCCCTCTCAAACAGATAAAACCAGATAAAACCAGACAAAACCAGACAAAACCAGACAAAACCAGACAAAACCAGACAAAACCAGATTAAACCAGACATAACCAGATATAACCAGATATAACCAGATAAAACCAGATAAAACCAGACAAAACCAGACAAAACCAGTTCACCTTGGAGAGACCCATGAGGAAACGCATTAGGACTTATTAGATTTAAGCATGTTTATTGATTGAGCATGTTTGGCGCCCTAGGCCCGGGCGGGATGCTGTTGAGCACGGCGCTTGCTC